CGCTGTGACCCTTCAATACAGTTCCTCATGTTACGATGACTCATAAAATTATTTGTGTTGCTACGTCATAACTGTAATTTTGCTACTGTTATGAACCGTGATGTAAATATTTGCATTTTCCGATGGTCTTAAGCGACCCCTGTGAAAAGGTCATTCCGCCACCTGAAGGGGTCACAGCCCACAGGTGGAGAACCGCTGGTCTGGAGTGCGTGCCGCAAGGTAATGTGACGGTAAGGACTGCAGCCTTTGGAAGTGTCTGCAGAGGCCAACGGGGCTCAGGGAGGGGTGGGGAGAGCTCGAAGCAGGCGGAGTTCTAGTTCAGAATTAAGGATGTATTGGTTTGGAGGGGCACATGAGGGAAAAGGAACAGGCATCTAGAGGCTGGAGCGGCAGGTACCAGTACACAGGGCTCAGGGTGGCTGACATGCGGTGCTGTGGAAGCCGTGTTGGGCAGAAGGGGACTGGGCTTCATGGGACATGACAACGTGGAGCCTGGACATGCAGTGATGTTTCTTGGGCAGTCAGTACTGCTGTGGCCATGGATCTGGCTCCATCCCTAGAGAGCAGAGGGGTGAAGGTGAGGGAGGACTCTGGCCAGAGGCTATAGACAAAAGGTTAAGCAAGGTATAGCAACACTACCATGAATGTTCAAGGAGGGAATAAGGAAGGCAAGATGGGTCTAGGGTGTCTGGCCTGGTGGCAAGTAATAGAGGGGCACACCTCACATTCCAGTTAACCACCAGTCTGAATGCTTCCTGTCTTTTCTATCGAAGCTTTCTCTTGCCCTCACAGGCATAAATTCGACTAACAAAACCAAAACTTATTCTGCTACTGTCACATTCCTACCCAGAGCAATAGCACACATGAACTAGTGAGATACATGGAACACTGGTCTTTGGAGAGTCATGGAAAACAGGGAAACCGCTCGAAGTGTTGCGGCTTCCTCACTGCCCACATTTGAGTCTATGGTTAGCAGTGACAACACAACTATTTCCACTGCCTGCCATAACGCTTGCTATCGCCAGGAAGTGAGTTCATGGTTATTTGAACTCACTGGCTCTTAGCTTACCTTTTGAGTTTACATTTAAAACAACTCCTGCATTTGCACTTATGATTGCCCTCTGCTGTTTAAATAGTGATTTTAATAGTGTGACCTCATTTGAACCTTTATTGAAAAAACCCCATGAAGCAAGCCTGAGGTTCAGCTTTTGTCATTTAGTAGAGGAGCAAGCTGAGATTGGGAAGCCACGTGTTCATTTACACAACCATGAAGGGCATTTTCATGCCCAAGAGAAAAAGCAACAATCTGGTTATTCGACATGAATATATTAGAAACTATTACAGAGACCAAGAAATTCAACACATGTTATTTTCTTTCTCTGTGTATGTGTGTGTACTATAGGATCAATGCCTCTAACCTATCCCCTCTGTCTGCTATAAAGTCCAGAATCATCAAAATGGTATAGACCACAAGGGACATGGTATAGGAATTAAGAACATAGACCCTGAGTCTACGTAATGCTCACGTTTTAAACCCAACCAGCATGCTCTGCAGAAGCCAAGCCACCATGCAGAAGCCCCTTGTAGGCACTCCGACCTGCATTCCAGTTAAAGCCTTCGTGAGTAGCTAATACACCCACAAGGTGTAAGAGCAGAAATGAGATGATTTCAGTGGAGCAGAAATGAAAGGTCCTGCAAGCCCTGCCTGACTCTAGGATTCATACCCAACATAAATGCAATCTTGGCTTTGAGGTGGTTCTGTGGAGATGGAACTCATGCTCACATGATCTTCTGACCTCCCAGTCTATTAACAGGAACGAGTCAGAAGGAGATGTTACCGGTAGAAGGGCAGTTGAGGAGGTTGGGCTGGCGAGAGAATGTCTGGTAAAGACAGTTCAGGAATGTAGATAAAAGATGAAAGAGGGCTTGGGGCCCAGGGAAGGACCTAGTGAGCAGCAGGGCCAAGGCTTTCTCATGTCTTCTCTCTCTGGCGGTGGCTGAGGGATTTTCCCAGATCCTCTGGGGGAAGGGCTAGACTGAGCACAGGCTAGGCCTTGTCAAGAAGGTGGAATACGAAATGGTGCATGTTTCCTCTCAGGGGTTGTCTGTCTTCTGCTCCTCATCTGTCATCCTGCCTATAACCTTAAAGCAGAAGGGACATTATTAGGAGGGGTAGAAAGAATAATGGATGGCAAAATACAAGGACATATCATGAGATTGTAATAAGGAAACCCACTGTTTTGTATGTTACCTAAATTTGTTTTCTTAGGGTTTTTTTTTTCTTTTTTTTTTCTTCACTTTGTTTCCCACCTGTAGCTTCCTCCCAATCCCTCCTTCTCTCCCTCTTCTCCACCCATGCCCCTCCCCCAGTCCACTGATAGGGGAGGTCTTCCTCCCCTTCCTTCTGACCCTAGTCTATCAGGTCTCATCAGGACTGTCTGCATTGTCTTCCTCTGTGGCCTGGTAAGGCTTCTCTCCCCTCAGGGGGAGGTGATCAAAGAGTCAGCCACTGAGTTCATGTCAGAGAGTTCCTGTTCCCATTACTACTTGGACACTGAACTGCCATGGGCTACATCTGTGCAGGGGTTCTAGGTTATCTCAATGCATGGTCCTTGGTTGGAGTATCAGTCTCAGAAAAGACCCCTGAGCCCAGATTTTTTGGTTCTGTTGCTCTCCTTGTGGAGCTCCTGTCTTCTCCAGGTCTTTCTATCTCCCCCTTCTCTCATAAGATTCCCTGCACCCTGCCCAAAGTTTGGCTCTGAGTCTCAGCAACTGCTTTGATACCCTGCTGGGTAGAGTCTTTCAGAAAATTTTTAATTAAAAAATTCTAAATTTACGTGTGTGTGTGTGTGCCCCTGCTTGTCTGTATATGTGCCATGTGCGTGCAGGTGCCTGTGGAGACCAAAAGAGGGTGGTGGATCTTCTGGAGCTAGAGTGGCAGGTATTTTGAACTTGCCTAATGTGGGTCCTGGGAACTGAACACAGATATTTTTCTTCAAGAGCAGTAAGTGTTCTTCACCATAGAACCATTTTTCTAGCACCTTATTTTTTTAATATATTTTTTTTAAGAATGAGAAAGGGACTTTGTGGGTCTATGAGATCTACAGAGAAGTGTAGGAAACAGAACACTAAGGGCAGATATCAGCATGTGCTTGCATGTTGCTGTGAAGATTGCTTTCTAGGCTCAGAAGCTAACCCCAACCAAGTACTGATCCTTGCACGCAGGACTGTTGATTGTTAGAGAAGAACTGAATTTCAGGTTAGGTTTGGGGAGAAGAATCCCAGTAGGTGATGTAATTAAATAGGGTTTTCTGATAGACTAGAAAGGAAAAAAAAAAAAGTTGAGATAAATACAAGCAATGTCTTCTTTGTGGGCCTGAGAATAGGAAAGGTTTCCTTTTCACCAGTCAGACAATTCTCAAAACCTCACAGGACAGTGTTCTTCTTTTTGGAGGTTAAACGCTGACTATGTACCATCGTCCTCATCGTTTTCCAGGCCACAACAGAACTGTCCAACAAGACACAACACAGGCTAGGCAGATGGCTCCGTGGGTAAGATCACTTGCTGTGAAAGCAGGCAGATCCGAATTCAAAATCTCAGCGCCCACGTTAAAAAGCAGGGGATGGCCACACATGCCTGGAGGGGAGCAGAGACCCCAGGAGCTTGCTAGCCAGCTTATCCAAAACGATGGGCTTCAGTTTCAGTGTGGACATTGTCTCAAAAAATTAAGGTAGAAAGCAACAGAGGAAGATGCTCTGACACGCCCTCCTCTGGTGTCCAGTACAGGCACACACACACAAACAAACAAAAACCCTGCAATCTCCAGATCTGTGCTGTAGTCTTCTGGGTAGCGATTCTGATGAGGGTCACAGAAGCCCCTACTGGTTCATCTTTCCTTCTGCCCTTCCCTCAGCCCACAGTATGGTTTACAACACACACATACACACCCACACAGACACACCTTCCGCAGAGGCTCTCAAGGTGATTCCAGCATCTAGGATAGAAAGAGAGAATACTTACCAGAGTAAAATCAGGCAGGCCAGAGGCCTCTTTGGGGACATTCAAGCCTGTGCAAGCATTCCTGTGCCCTCTGGAGCCACACTAGGGGTTGTGCACCAGAACCCTGACCAGGGGAAGATTCTTGTTTGAAGAGTAGCTTCCTTCCTGCCCTGGTTGTCTGGAGTAGCTCATCCCAGATGACAATAATTCCCAACTCTACTTCCTGGGACAATACTCAGTGCTACTCCCTTAGTTCAGAAGTTATACTCAGCATTTAATTGGCTTCAGATTACAAAGAAAAACTAAAGGCACAGATGTAGGTTTAATTTGGACAGTGATGACGATAGGGATTGTGGAAAAAAGAAAATCAGTCAAGGCCCTATTTGTGATGTGCATACCAAGGGCTTCCCTCCAAAAGCCAGGCTCTTCTGCATCTCCCAAGTACAGCAATTTGAAAATAAGGTGGGTGGGTAAATCCTTGAACTGTGGACAGTGGGACATCCACAGGCCATCAGTTAATCATCTGTCTTCTGCCTTTGAGGAGGGGTAAGGTGAAATCATCCTGTATGTATTGAATGTCTCATATATAAATTATATTTCTCTGAGGGGCTTCCTAGGGCAACCTCACGGAGGTTCGAGAGAACCAGTCCACCGCTATCAAGAAGATATTTGTGTACAAATTTTACGCTTCCAGTTTGGAATCTTCATTTTTCATCCCTTTGAGAAGAGGACTCTAGACCATGACGTGAACTTGCCTGACCTACAAGTTGTAGGCAGAAATGTTCACATTCTACACACCTGATAGGATTCATTTGTAACCTAGTTATAGCCTTGGAAACAGCCAGCACATTATAATTTGAATGGTTTGGTCTCTAAGGAAGATTAATTCATGATTTTACTTAAAATGCACGCACACAGCTTGCCGTTACCACGGATGTATTGCATTAAACACTGGCCATCCCCACTTCCTTAATGAGCTGTTTTGTTTTTTTCCGTCTAGGTCCTTGGATGTGGCTCTATCGCCCAAGCCGTCCTCAGTCGAGGACAGGCTGGTGGAGTCATCACTATCTATATCGGATTTGCAATGGCAGTTGTGATGGCTGTTTATGTGACTGGAGGCGTCTCTGGTACGTAGTAGAAGCCATTACCACAATTCTTAACAACTCCAGTGTTCTAGCAGGGTTGGTTCGTTTACATGCTTTTATCATGTTTCAACAACCCTGAAAGAACAAGTAGTGATCGCTTTTTGGAGATGATAAAATTTAAGTGCCAACAAATGGTAAGTGGCTTATTCCAAGGTAACATTGAACAAGGATCCTGTGGGGTTACCTCACACCTGAGCCATTCCTGGCTGCTGTATTGTGTCCTCCAGTAATCAATACTGTATTGTATTGTATTGTATTGTATTGTATTGTATTGTATTGTATTGTATTGTATGACTCTCATGCTTGGAAGCCATTTCCCAGATAAGCTTGTGAATAGCTCGGTGAAGGTCACGCCACAGAGGCAAGTCCTGGACCTTTATCAGCTACAATCAGTGAAGGTAGGCCCTGTGCAAGGTTGACTCTGCCTTCTTGACAGTGTGTATCTGAGCTAGAAAAAACATTAACCCAGTTCTTCCCTGATGTCCAGGTTGATTATGGCTGCCTGTAGGGTCCCACAAAGCAAAATGGTGAGATTCTATCCAGTGCAGTCTGGAAACACAGGAAGAGACCCAGGGCAAGACCAGGTGGTGTAAGGCATGGAGCCTCCCACTTGGCTCCTGAGTACTAAAGCAACCAGCTGGTCAGAAGAGGGCATTGAGACACCCCCCCCTCTGACATGTTGGGCACTGCGTTGGTGCATTCTTCACTTTCTTTCTCCCCTATAACAACGCTCCGCTGGGATGTACTATTGTCTTCCTTATGCAGAGAGCACTGGGACTGAGAGAGGGCCTGTAAGTTGCTACAAGTCCTGCATCTTGCAAAGAGACAGAACAAAGCTGGCTCAGGTCATCATGAGCTATATAATACTCTCAGTGCTAGATCAGGGGCAAAATTACTCTGGCAGAGTAATACTCCTTGAGGTGAGCTGGCTGGTTTTGTGATAAGCGTGTCACCAGAATGCTGAAGAGCGATGCCCAGGCACTCTGCAGCCTTCTGGGACGTGATTCTTTCCACAAACCATCTCTTACTGGCTGACAACACAGCAGCCAGACAGCGGAGTTCCGAGGTTGTGATTTGTTTGGCGTGAGCACTGTCTCCATTCAAGTTGTCAAGCTTTTGCTGTGAATCCAGCATCATACCACTGACCTTAAGAGAAACACTGGATTTACTGGAAAATTTCCCTGTTCACACCAAACCTATGTTAGTGCTGGGGACCTTGATACCAGACATGAAACGCAAGAGGTCAGGATACCGTGTTACTGTCCCCTACACCTCCCAGCACATTCCCCTAAGTGTAGTCTCAACACATCCATTATGAATATAGAAACATTTTCAACTATATATACACACACACACACACACACACACACACACACACACACACACACACACATATATATATATATATATATATATATATATATATATATATTTTAAAGGTGGAGACAGTGTTTAGAACAGTGGTTCCCAGCCTTCCTAATGTGTAACCTTTTACTACAGCTCCTCCTGTTGTGGTGACTCCAACCATAAAACTGTTGCTACTTCATGACTAATTTTACTACTGTCACGAATTGTAGCATAATGAAAGAATCTGATATGCAGCCCCTGGAAAGGATCTTTCAATCCCGGAGGGGTTGCAACTCACAGGTTGAGAATCACTGGGTTGGGGTACATGGCTTGCATGGTATCCGGAGGTGAACATTGTCAAGTAACCGTATGGGACTTGGATTCTGTCGGTGTAGTCGGCCCCTGTCTCTGCCACCACAGGTCATGGATTTTTGCATTCATTGCTATATTTGGGGATGTAAGGAGTCATTATGGGGAAAAGGGTTGAAATGACTAGCAAGAGGGACAAGGCCAAGTAGAAATAGGGCAAAGAGCTGTCTCCTCTGGCCTGTATACTGAGGCTAAGTTTTTGGGAGTGAGAAGCGGAGATGACCACAGGTTGCATTACCAGGTGAGGCTTTGGCTCTGATCACGTTGTTTATGAGAGACTATGAGAACCTCAGAACACAAAGAAAATGGTGGATGAGCCTGGCTGATGAATGTCGGTGTTGAGTTGGAATGGGAAGACCCGTCACCACGCCTCCGTTTAGGACTAGCAAAGTTCAGGCTCTGAGGACTGCTGACTTGGGAATGTCCAGGGACAACGCATGCACTCTCGATAACAGCTTCACAGACCACAGCATCAGTCTCGATGCTTCAGTGGCCGCAGAAACCAGAGAAGGCAGTTGTGTGAGGGGTGTCTATCAAGGTGACTGCACCTGACATGGTTTGCAGCCACATGGAAAGCACTTTTTGAGGGCTCCAAGAACAGCCGCTTCGTGCAAAGCCACTGTGTGCTGGACATGAATATAAATGTGATCCCATTTTGTGGCCACAGTGTAAGGAATCAATTTGCTATAAAGGAGTTTTAGCGTCCTACTCCCTTGTGAATTGCCAATCAAACAATCAAAGCTTACCACCACTCTTGATTGTATAGCATGCTACTCAAAACATGTAGGCTGCCTAGGCAACTAATTTTTAAAGTTATGTGTGTGTGTGTGTGTGCGCATTTGACAGGGAAAGCATGTAGAGGTGAAAAGATTTTACCATGTGGGTCTCAGGGATAGAACTCGGGTTGTTAGGGTCGGTAGCAAATGCCTTTGCCTTACTCCCTGTAGATGATTTTGGTAACCATTTTTGATGTAGCGTTCTGTAAACCAGTTCTCCTGTCTTGCTCGAAGACAGGAGACATGTAAGGTATCTACCACAGAACTGTGAGAGGGTGGCAAGAAAGACTTTGCCTAGAGCAAAATCTTAAAACGGTTCACTTTGCTTGCCTGAGACCCATTTCTTGGACCTGGAGGATTCTAGCTGTTTCCCTTGGGGGTTCTTTATGTGGATGTTCTGGTCATCAAAGCAACCTTGGCAGAGCTGATCCTTGAGGGCAGGACTCTCTGACCCTAGTGCTCATGTTCTTTCCACTACACTGCTCTGGCCTTGGCTTTGTGGTAAGCCACTCACATCTGTAAGGAGGAAGTTATATAGCCCTTCTGGACTCCAGCCATTTCTCCCCCGCCCTTTCTGAGCCCCCTTTCACCCCTTAGTCCCTACTTTTCATTAGTTTTCAAAACTCTATCCCAGATCTACCCTCTCTGACTCAGAAGCACCTGTCCCTAGATTTCTGTCGTCTGCAGCTTTTAAACAAAGCCCCTTAATAATTCCATCAGCTTCCTCACCAAGGTGCCTTCCAAGTGGCTGACATCACATGAGAGCCCAGGCTACTTGGTCTTTCAGGGTGCTTGCCAGAGACCGCCAAGTGTAAACCCACCTGCGGGAAATTTTATCTTGAAAGAGACATTGCTCTGGAAGCCTCATTGGCAAGGCATTCCCAGGGATGGCTTTGGTCAGAGGTGACTTTTTAGGGCCCCCTTGTCTTTCCACTCTGAGTGCCTCCAGTCTGGCTATCTTAGAACACACGGTTCTGCCTTTTTTAAAAAAGAGATCAGCCATGCTGTTTCTCCTATCTGGCACCTTTGCTCATCTGCTGTGCTTGGAGACTCAACTCTCCTAAGCTCAGAGACCCCTCCTCCCCTCTAAAGCCTAGAGATAGAAAGGCATTTCATTTGTCCTGTAGGCTGCCATTGGGTTCTATGCCCCATCTTCCCTGGCCTGTCCCACCTTAATAAAAGGACTCTCCAGGCGGCCCCAGGAAGAAAAAGAACAGGTGACAGCCTGGCTCCAGGAATTTCCCATCAGCTTCTGTGTTTGTTCCAACCCATGTTTCCTAATCTTCCTACGAAGCTGCCTTCTGGAAAGCAAGACCCCACAGCGGAAGCACTGGAAAGGACCTGGGTGGTCATCCGTGCTTTGATATTTTGGAATTTTCTTGCTCATGTTCACTGGAGTTGAGTGGCAGAGGTGGCTCCCTTTGTGGGTCACAGCCCCAAACCCACTGTCAGCCTTGGATCAGAGGCTCGGGAAAAGCATGGCTCTCTCCATGGGGGCTGGGCTTCTAGAATCATCCTTGACCGTGGCACTGAGGAGGGCCAGCGTTCAAGATTATCATCGTAGTCACTGCTGCCACCAGGATGGTTGCTGTCTCTCCTGTTCACGCCTCACCTGAATGTCCACTTTTGAAAATGAATTTGATCTCCCCTCCACATGAAATGCCACCCGAGTGCTTCACGCTCACCTTGTGCGCCCTCCCTTCGCCCCCACCAACATGAAAATTCAGGTGTGCGTATGTGCGCACACACTTAATTTTCAAGGCGGAAAACAATCTTGCTTTGAGTTTTGTTTTTAATTGTGTGTACGGGGAGAAGGGGAGTGTGTGCATGGGATTGCCGGGGCAAGCAGAATCCAGAAGAAGGGACCCGATCTGCTGGAGCTGGGGTTATGGGATGGTTTTGGGCTACCTACTCAGTGCGTGTGCAGGGAACCAAACTTGAGCAGTCTGCAACAGCAGTATGAGTTCCTGACCACTGAGACAGCTCTCTAGCCCCAAGGCAGAGAAATCTTTATAAATGTGCTGAAGGAGGTCCGGAAGTGAATGAATGGAACTTGGCTCTTAAGTTCAGATAAAGCTGGGCCTGGACTTTGGTTCTATCACTCACTGACCATGTAGCTTGAGAAAGCTCCTGTTTCTCACCAATTTGCTCACCAGTTAGCCAGGGCAGAATCCAACCCAGCAAATTACTCAGTAAATGCTGCAGCTGAGTCCAAAACCACATGGGAACACCTGTGGCATTCCACAGAGAAAAAACCTCTCTGACCTTATGAGTAGCTGAGAATCAGAAAGCAGATTCCACCACCCACGCCTTGGGTTGTTGAAGGAGTTGTTGCCACATTCCTGTAGGAGAAAACAAACTGTTCACACAGAGGGACCTAGAAGGCTCCATTCAGACACAGTGATCACCCCCAGCAAAGCCCTTCTGCCTCAGAGACAGGCACAGGGAGTCCAGCAGGACAGGAATCCCTCCTGAGTGCTAAAAATGGCTTTATAGCCTCTAGGCATGTGCTAAAGAATTGTTAGATAAGGAGTTAAGCTTTGGTCACCTTAATGCATTCACAGTAACAGTTTATGTCAATCTACTGATGGTTAAAACTCTGCTTGAAAAAAGAAAATGAGCTGCTTTCTCACCCCAGGTTTTTAATGTCTGAGTTTCTTTTGTACAGATAGTCTAAACTGTGTTTAATGCTCCCTCCCCCAGCACTCATCTGTGTCCCCCCCCCCCCATCTTCTATTCCCTGCAGGAGGCCACATCAACCCAGCTGTGACTTTTGCAATGTGTGCCTTTAGAAGGATGGAGTGGTTCAAGTTCCCGTTTTACGTGGGAGCCCAGTTTTTGGGAGCCTTTGTCGGGGCTGCAACTGTGTTTGGCGTTTACTATGGTGCGTACTGACCCCGATTCCAAAGATCTGGAGGGCTAAGTGGGGCGACCCGTGAAAGCTTGAATTACTTGGTGGGAAGCAATGATACAGGGCAAAAACAGGGAAGCACGGTGACGCTGGCAGAAAGGCTGAGGCAATTTAATGAAGCCCTTAAATAAAATCTGGGAATTTGTTTTAATCTAAAGGGGTGTGTGTGTGTATGTGTGTGTGTGTTTAACCTGTATACATGTCTGTGCATCACTTGTGTCTCCGCTGCTCACAGAGACCAGGAAGAAGCACTGGGCACCCTTGCAACTGGTGTTCCAGAACATTTCAGCATGTGGGTGCTGGGTCCTCTCTGGAAGAGCAGCTACAGCTCTTAACTGCTGAGCCACACCTCTAGACCCCAAATCATGCATCTTAAGGAGGGAGGGCACAAACTTGAAGAGCCTAACTTCAGGCCCAACCTGCATTACACAACATGAACATAAGCCATAGGCCAGTGGCCTCTCTGCTGCTTTCGCTGACTTGATGAGACAAGGTCCTGCTTGGTCAGGAAAGCTGTGGCCCAGGAACTATTTAGAGCAGGAATCTGGAACCATGCCTCTGAAGGAAGACGCACAGCAGAGAAACAGCTTAGGTGGGAGCCTCTGTCCCTTCTAGCAAACACCCAAGACATCTGCTCTGGAGCCCCCAGGAAAATTCGGTCCCGGCGATCACAGGACTGAGCTATGGCCATGGCAGTTAGCAGCTCACTGTCTTAAATAAGCCATCTTGGAATGCAGCACGGTGTCACATGCCCATGACCCTAGCACCTGAGTGGTTAGTTGGTGATCAGAAGTTCAAGGTCATTCTCAGCTACAAAGCAAATTCAAGGCCAGCCTAAGTGACTTGAAACCTTGTCTCAAACAAATAACAAACAAGTAAATAAATCAGTCATCGGACCATGTAGGTCCCAGTTTCCTCCTCTGGAAAATGAAGAACACCCAAAGTCGGAAAGGCTGAGAAGTCTTAGGATTCTGTGGCACCAACCATTAAAACAGTTCTTTGCATACAACCCAAGATGCATTCTGAGTGGCAAACTGAAGTCTTTGATAATCCAAACCCCAGGGAAATCAGTTGTACAAAGGCACCTCTCCCCACAGTGTTTCTCTGAGAATTAGATATCCAAGAGACATTCGAGGTTGACCAGAAACCTAGGGAGTCAGCAGCTGAGGAAAGAGAGGTCTGGGGTAGATGCTGCCTGGGTCAGTGGCTGCCAGTTCCCCGTCTCTGAGGTCCCTACAGGCCGTCTGTAGCATCCTCACTCTCCAGGTACACCGTCAACTTCTGAAGTAAGTTTTTAGGGCAGTAGAGAGTACTGTAGGAGCTATGACTTCCACTTGAGACAAGTTAATATCACACAATCTTGAAAATTAGATCAATCTTGAAAATTCCAAAAAAAAATTTCCCTTGTGACACACATACCCAAAGAAGATAAGCATCTAAGACCCTGTTGACTGATTATTCGGTCCAAGTTTAGAGCTTTCTACTTTTGACTCACCATCCTGGGGTTCCCCTGGGTGTCTCTAAGACAATCTTACCATAAGGACCACTTGGCTTGGTTGTTTTGCTAGAGATGGAGCCTAGGCCTCTGTTCTCCTTTGATTTGTGTTACTGTGACAGAGGAGAGTTTTTATTTCAGCCTACAGGCCATAGTCTCAGCAAGGAATTCAAAGCAGGAGCTCAAAAAAAGAACTTGAAAATATGAGCCTAGAGCAGTGGCGCATGCCTGTGATCCTAGCAGATTACAGGGAGGCAGAGGCAGGTGGATATCTGTGAGTTTGAGGCCAGCCTGGTCTATAAAGCAAATCCAGGACAGCCAAGGCTACACAGAGAAACCCTGTATTGGAAAAAATGAACAACAAACAAACCCAAAACAAAGTCACCCAAAAATAAATTAAAAACTCTAGAAAACATGGAGAGATGGTAGTTTCCAGCCTGCCCACAGTCTTACTACACATAGCTTTCTTAGATCCACAGGCCGGTCTGATCCAGGTAATCTCTTAGTTGAGACTCCCTTCTCAAGTACCCTAGGCTAATGCCACATTGGCAGTTAACCCCGACTAGGACACCATCCCTCCGTCCTTTCCAGAAAAAAAAAAAAAAAAACGCTGATGTCCCTGACTTCTCCCTCCCACAGATGGATTCATGGCCTTTGCTAATGGAAAACTGCTCATCGAGGGAGAGAATGCAACAGCGCCCATTTTTGCAACATACCCAGCTCCGTTCATCTCCCTGACAAATGCCTTTGCAGACCAAGTAAGTGAAGGGTCAACATGGGCCTGATTTTAGTGGAGAGACATGATAAAAAGGAACGGGGACAGGGACGGGGCGTGTTGAAACACTGTGTGCCTGTCGAATAGGAAGGATCACGTTTCCTAGTGAGGGGTCTTTCTATGAACTGGGCTTTCGAGGCAGTGAGTTCCCTTTGAAGGCGCTGAGGCCACTGGAAGCACTCCGCCCTTTTAAACACACATAGTTGCTTCCTACTAGCTGCTGTCCAGAAAAAGAGTGGCTGCCAGGACTAGAGGCACGTGAAATCCACTTTATTTCTAGCATCTCTTGTGCTCACCGTGCAAGGGCGACAGCCACAAGATGGGGCGTGTCCATCTACACCCACAACCTGTGAAATACCATGGTGAGCTTGGGGCCGATGAGTCTGCCCCATCTCTCCGTGAGCGCTGGGTTCACCCGACTCTCAAGGGAACCAATTGTCTCAACCAGATTGACATTTGAAGTAGTGCCTGCTGGGTGCGGTGGCGCACACTTGTAATCCCAGCTTTTGGGAGGCGGAGGGAAAACATCGCGGCAGGTTTCAGCCTAGCCTGGGTCTAACCAGGAAGCTCCAGGTTAACCGGGGCTGCCCAGAGCGCCCCTACAACAAAGAGCTGCACCTCTGTTGATTGGTTTCTGAAAAGATCCATATATTCTCACCATTTTCTTTTTTGCTTTGATCACAGAGTAAAGCAGGGCACCAATGTTAGTTGATCTCTCCCTGGGTGCTCAGCCCCGTGTCTGGAACTTGAAGCACTTATAATGTGCTTAGAATGTGAACTGCAAAATCCCAACGTCCGGAGTCTGAGTCCTTGGACGGAAATAACATCCCTGTCCCTGACTCTCTGAGTAGTGTCAGTGAATCGCTTATTATTATTATTTTTAAATTTCTGAGTACGGGACTCGAGAGACGGCTTAGCAGATAACAGAGCACTGGCGTGATTGCTCATACCCATCTGTAAGTCCAGTTTCAGGTGATCTGATGCCCCCTTCTGGACTCCACGGGTACTGCACGTATTTGCCACACACATTCAGGCTTTCATACACATAAATAAACAAATTTTTACCTTTTTCACTTGTGCCACGTGGATAAACACCAGCCTTTGTCAGTTCATTGTAAGGGTTTTTAAAAAACAATATGAGAAAAATGTAGTGTGAACAGTGTCTGTGAAGAATATGCAGAATGTGGTTCAATAGAATGACCACAGAACAAGGCGACAGCCAGACGAGCTAGGGCATGCCTGTAATCCCAGCATGCCCTCCCCTAATTTTTTTTTTTCAAAAAATAACAACGTGAACAATGAGACTATAATATCACATTAGAACCTACAAGTCAAGAGTTATGACAGGAAAGACACAGAGTAATGAAGCTGCCTGAAGAAGAAGGACCGCTGTTGCCATGTGTAATTATGTAAGCACGGTCTGCAAATGAAGCAATAGAGCTTTAGATCTGCTTCCAGGTGCCACACATCTTGGGGCAGGCATCTGTGAAGGGAAGCCAAAGGTTCTCCCTTATCACACACGCCGGAAGTTGAAGTCAAAGACCCCGGGTCTGGATAGTGGGGGTAGCGTGAAGTGACCATTCTGGCACTCTAGTTTCTGTGAAAGATGAGGAAATGCTGTAAGAGAATGTCTTCCCTTTATCCCCAGGCGTGGGGAAACGGGGCTGCCTCACTGTGCTTTGCCTCGTGCTCTAGCAGAGGCATGGTTTTGCCAGCTGCAGGTAGTTACTGAGCTTGCTTGGAATTCTGGGAACTTTCCAGAGGGCATATACATGCTAGCCTGGGCCCTGAGACGTGTGGCTGGTCACTCACGGGGATTGTTTGTGGTTTGTGAATAGTTGTGCTCAAAGAAGAAACAAGAAGAAAGAAATCAGATTCATATCTCTCTCTGTCTCTCTTTCTCTCTCTCTCCTCTGTTCTTTTTTCTTTCTTATCTAGTGAGAGGGGGTGAAACCAAGGGGGCAAAAGGTGGGAAAAAGAAGAAACCAGCAACAATAGTGTGTGTGTGAGGACATGAGAACCCTTCAAGGCACGCAAAGAAACTTGATGGAAGACCAAGCACAGCACAGCTGACCAAAGAATGGTTTCTCGAGGTCTTAGCCTTCATTAGTTACTCTTGAGGACTTATTTTGTCTGGGCTCTGACTTAGAGGTAGAAACTTTCAGCAAGGCCAGCCTATGTCTGACGATCTGTTCCTGGGTTCTTTGGATGTCTTCATTCAAAAGCCTGGCAGAGTTTGCAGCCTCCTCCTTAGTTTTCTTTCTTTTTTCTAATTGTATTTTTAAATTTTAATTAATTAGTTAATTTATTACAGTTTATTCACTTTGTATCCCCGCTGCAGCCCCCTCCCCCATCTTTTCTTAGTCCCAACGTCCCTCCCTCTTCTCCCACTATGCCTTCCCCTAGTCCCCCGATAGGGCAGGACCTCCACTCCTTCTATCTGACCCTAGCCTATCAGGTCTCATCAGGGCTACTGTATTATCTTCCTCGGTGGCCTGATAAGGCTGCACCCCAGGGGGAGGTGATCAAAGAGCTGGCCACTGAGTTCACATCAGAGACAGCCCCAGCACCCCAAAGGCACATAAGCAGCATAAATTCTTTAGGAATCTTGTACTATGCTGGGGAGACCTAGTCCTGGCCCTCTGCTGCCCACCTGTTTTACTTTGTGCAAGTAACTCAGAGCTTTTTAAGACCTTGGCTTAGCCTTCTGGTAAATGGCATGAATAACAGCCACAGCAGTTCCCCATGCATGCTGATCAACAAGAGCAGCATTCTACCTCAGCCATCTCTCCTGCCTTTCTTTTTCTGTTCTGACGGACTCTTGTAGAGTTTCACATATTCTCCCGATTCCTAGCCTCAAGATGTTTTGCCATGTGCCTTAGAGAATCACTTGGTACCAGGATAGCAGAGATCTGTCTTCTCCTAAACGCTCTTCACTGCATCTTTTTCTCGCCATTTCCTTCAGGGATTATAGCTTTTTGTTTGTTTGTTTCTCGATGCCTCACACCTTTAATCCCAGCACTTGGGAGGCAGAAGCAGCCTGGTCTACAGAGTTAGTTCCAAGACAGCTGGGGCTGCAGAGAGAAACCATGTCTTCGGAAAATTTCTTTGGCTATGACTATTTTGGAAACCTGATGAAGGAAACACTGAAGGGATTAAATCATAAAATCGTCTCCTCATTGTCTTCCTGCCTTTCCTACAAGCCCTCGAGCACGTGCCTCAGCCTCTGTCCAACTAAATTCCCTCATCTGTGAGGAGGGTAGCAGGGTTTTACCTCAGGGGGTCATTACAACTTTTCAGGGAGATGAAGCACACTATGGACCATGAGTGAGGTGGGCCTGCCAGGCACCTCAAAGGTAAAAAACACTGTGTGACAGAGAATACATATTCAACAACTCATGTCATCTAGGTTGCAAAGCAAAACGATTGCTTAGAAAGTTTAGAAAATGGAAAGAGCAGAAAAATCCCCCTGACTTCAGAGTGTACTTAAAACATTTCTCACTCAATGTCAGAAGCATTTTTTTAAAAAAAATCACTGTATAGTTTTATATTGATAATTCTTTTTTTTTTTAAAGTTTTACATGTATCTAGTGTGTATGTGTGTATGAAACATGCACATGCTATAGTACACGTCAGAGGCCAGGGACAACTTTTGGGATTGGTTCTTTCCTTCAACCATGTGGGTGAAGTTAGGGGTCAGGCTTTGCGCCTTTATCCACTGAGACATCTCACTGGTGCTGTTTATAGATCTTAGTGTCTCTTAGTAAGTTCTGGGACAGACATCTGTAAAGCAGTTTACCTTTTCCGTTATTGATGTTTGCTTAAATGGCTTCCAGTTTCCAGTATGACAAACCACGCTTAGGTGAATATGTGTATTTTAAAGTAATTTTCCATAGTTTAGATTATTTCTATGGTATGAGTCCGAATTGTATGCATGAACTTGGGTTTTTAAATGCCTGCTGATAAGCTGCACTAGAAAGCCCCTAGAGAATAGTTTTTCTCCTCTCACTTTGCTACTGTCCCCCACTCATTTCATCACTCTCGTTTTCCTGCTCATATACTTGTGTCCGTTCCCTTGACATGTTCATCTGATGCTTTCTTGCCTGCTGTCTTTACAGCCTGTCCGAACCAGCCCTCCTTTACTTTCCTGTCTTGCCACTTCTCCTTCAGTGTTGCTGACTAGCAGCTTAGCAGACAGCGTGGTAGTTGAGGACCAGTCTCCTTTGGACTGGACCAACTGTGTGACCTTTGGCCTTCAACGGACAACCCTGTCAGCATCTGCTTTTAGTATGTCTATGGAAAAAAAGAGCCACAGTCCTGTCCACTATGTCAGTTGTCACTAGTTTCACTTCTTTTCAGATTTATTTATTTTAGGTGGGTGAGTTTTGCCTCTATGTCTGTGCACCACAGGCTTGCAAAAGCCTGTGGAAGTCAGAAGAGGACATCAGCTCCCCGGGAACTGAAGTCACAGATGGTTGGGAGTTGCCGAGTAGGGCCTGAGAACCGAACCCGGGTCCTCTGCAAATGCAACAAGTGCTCATCCCTGTGGTGCTGCTCTGGGTTTCAGTCCCTGTTATTTTCATCTCATTTCATTTTCATTTCAGCCAAAGGGGTGACTTTGGGAGAGCAAGCAAGAGAGCACAGGCTGAACTCTGGAATGTTTTCTTCCTCTCCAGGTGCTGTCTACCATGTTCCTCCTTATGCTTGTCTTTGCCCTTTTTGACTCCAGAAATCTTGCGGTGCCCAGAGGCCTAGAGCCCGTTGTCATTGGCCTCCTGATCATCGTTCTTAGTTGTTCTCTGGGATTCAACGCTGGCTGTGCCATGAACCCAGCCCGAGACCTAAGCCCCAGACTCTTCACTGCTGTCGCAGGGTGGGGGTTTGAGGTCTTCACGTAAGTACCAGTGGTGGGGAGGAGATAGGAGGAGGGGCGCTGAGCTTCAGCAGCAGAGAGGACTGAGCCCTGGCTTGGAGACGCACGAGCATGTGGACCAGAGAGCAGAGACTGTGGACACTCTGGTTAAGCCATCTTTTTTATTACATAATTTGTCTACAGACTGACTTTGTGACCAAGTCAAGACCAGAACTGGCATCTCCTGATGCTGCCAGGGGACTCCTCAGTCCTTCATTCTCTCAGCAGAGCTTTATTGGGCTCTAGATATGTAGAAGTAAACTATGATAGAGAAGAACATTTCCAAGTCAACACACACAATAGGATTTGGGGCAGGAGCTTGGTGTGTCATCAGGAGCCAGCTGATGAAAATTAACCTTATACAAGAGGAGTTGAACAAGGAGATATTAGAAGGATAAGATCCATGCCAAAGGCTCTAAACAGAAAGGCCGCAAGGAACAGTCTGTGGTTATCAAGCACAATGGTGGAACAGATAGGCACGGGTTCTTCTAGAACCAGTATGCTCTCCATTACGTAAGACAGGAGGGTTTTTGGTTTCTTATGGCTCTGAGGATCAAACCTTAGGCTGAACAAGGGCTTTCCCACAGAGAGGCTCTCCAAGCCTTTTGCTGTTAGTTCATGCTAGGACACCAGAGTCTAGTCAGAGCGCTGTGAAATCTTCATACCTGTCCACTACTCCCATTTTCCTGCTTTCCCTGTACTCCTCTGATTGTTTATAGTTCTCTGAATTTCTAGAAATAGTTTTCCCCAAGTGTACACATCCTTTAAATAATATCTTTTGTGCTTTTTTTTTTTTTTTTTTTTTTTTTGTAAGTGATTGTAGAAGTCATTCCTAAGGAGTTGCTTAAATAGATTTTCTTTGAAACAAACAAAGCAACTGGCTGCCTCCCAGAACTGCCTCTGAGAACTGACCCTGGGGAGGTTTCTGCAGGAAGAAGGGGAATCATGGCACCAAAGCCTTACAGAGTAAAGCCTGGCAGAGTGAGCCTGTGGACTGCGCCATCAAAGACAAGCACTGGTTCCAACAATGCTCAGTAGATAAATGAGTAGATAGTTCACATACCGCTTTAGATTTTCTTCGTTCACTGTTTGGTTGGCGTTATTAACTCTGTGCGTCCTGGGAACTTGTTTCCATTCTGAGCACCTTCTTTTTTCCTCCACAACCCCAAGCTTCATTATTTCATGATTTAGGAGAGGTGGTTGCTGAATAGCCTCTCCGGAAGCCCTCAGTCTTGGCCATGGATTACGGAGCCATATATCTTTTAATGTATCACATTTTACTGGCGAGGGGTGTCTAGGATTAGTGGTGGGTGCACATACCCCACTATGCATGTGTGGAGGCCGGAAGACAGCTTGCAAGAGTTGGTTTTCTCCGTCCAGCACATGGGTCCTGGGCATCCGTTCAGGCCATCAGGCTTGGCAACAAGCCACAGCACCATCTCACTCGCTCAAGGACCATGTTCTCTAAGAGGAAAATAAATAGGGTGCACCCATTCACTGGGGTCCTCAGGACACTGGAATGGGCTTCTGATAGCAGGGACACTGGGAAGTCCAGGACAGTCATGGCCATGCCGTAGTGAATGTGAATGGGCAAGAAAGAGATTCACTAGTGAGTGACAAAGATACAAGGGTGGTCGAGAAATATCTCACTGATTTCCTGTTTCCTTTCAGAGCTGGAAACAACTTCTGGTGGATTCCTGTTGTGGGCCCTATGGTTGGCGCTTTCCTTGGGGGCCTCATCTACATTCTCTTTATCGAAATGCATCACTCGGACCCCGACTCAGAAGAGGAGGAAGAGCCATCTGAGAACAACCTAGAGAAACATGAACTCAGTGTCATCATGTAGTGGTCAAATGTGGCAGGGTCTACATTTACTGTTCTGTTGGTTCCCTCTTTAGAAAAGATGGCATCTGTGTGCCTGTGCTTTGGTGAGACTTGGGGCTGGAGCATCTACCCAGTTTTCCCTCAGCCAATTGGGACAAACAATCACAAAGGCATCCATGAAAAATTCCACCAGCCATCCTCCCCAGAATAGCACTGACTGTCCCCTGAGCCAGTGTTCTCTCCTGACCTGTTTACTGCATCTTTGATGGAGGTCCTTGCTCCTAGGTGATTGCTAAGAATTTGGCAACTTGACCATGGACTCAGCTGAATAGACTCAGAGACCTTTATTACCCCAGATGGAATAGTGCCATCAAAGGCTCTGCCTTCACAATCTATAAATACAACATTCTGGAACTGAAAGGTCAAACATGGCTACTCTTAATGCCTATGGAATGGGGAGCAAAGGGTTAACATTCTACCAAGATTAGCACTGTCTTTGCATAAATACTGATATTGTCCCAATCTAGGGCTATAGGAAGTGCCAGAAGCCAGCTGGAAAGAACGCTATGGCATTTAGAAACCTCAGGACACAAGATAAATTTGGGAAACTGAATGGCTTTTTTTTTTTAATGGAAACCATTTGTCAGATTAATCTCTTGCTCTTCTGCATTTTAGATGGCATCAATTAATTTCCAGGTCTTTAAGTACATAATAACCTAAAATATGATTGGAACCTTGGCACCAGTGTGCTTCCCCAAGAGCTCACTCGAGGACAGACCTTTTGACTAGTCTGTGGCTACACTCATCTGTGTCCAAACTAAAAGCTAGTGGAGCCTGGCCCGGCAGACCGAGATTGAAGGTAGAAAAAGTGCCTGGGACAAAAGCACAAGCTCATCTGTTTTTTGTTTTTTTTTTTTTTTTAATCACTCACAGAACACTTTCACGCCTTATCAAATTTGATCCCAACACCAGTCCTCTGAGGTAGATAGCCACAGCAGCCATTTTTCCAAAGAGAATCTCTCGTGAATTAAGCGAGTTGAGTTGCCGTTTGCTCTGCAGGGTGCGTTGGACATTGCCGAGTGCCTTCCAGGAGCTCGCTAGCTGGCTGAGGGTGTTTGAGCTCCCTCCTGTTTATGTGAAATAATAGGTTTGTGTGAAAGGGGGCAGCAGCAGAGCACTCTATAGAAACACCACTCCCTGGTCTTAGGGCATGGACTCTCCAGGTGCCATGTTGTCTGGTTTCATCCCAACTGTTGTTACTTCTAATTGCTCAATCTCGGGGCGGGGGGCAGGGGGTGGAGGGACATACCTTCACCCCAGCTGTCTAAAGCCCAGCCTGCCTAGAAACGGTGAGTTTCCCAAGTGCTTTGCAAGAACAACAGAACGAGGAATGAACTAGACGTCTCCAACACCGTGCTCTGCAACCTGTGGATTCGTTTTCTGAGTCTGAAATCAGCTGCACATGTTCTAGTTTAAATACTTTTTGGGGATAGATATATTACTGTGTTTAGGGTCCCCCCACCCCATTTGATGGCTGCCAAACATACTTAACGCAGAGTTGGTCGGTACTGTCTAGGAATTGAATACCTCGGGAATTTTAGAAAGCAGTAAGTCCTGTAGGCAGCTCAGGTGATTCAGGCATGCATCAAGGACCGGACCGAACCTGAGGAACCTAAGTTCTCGAAAGCCGCATGTAGCTGTCACGATGGGCTTGTTGGTGTTCTCAGCGCCTTGGGTTCCTGCTGGATTGGAACATGCTTCCCAGCAGGGGTAATTTTGCTTTCTCCTCCCACCACTGGGACCATGTAGTGACACTGATAGCTGTCACAGCTAGAAATGGGGAAGGTGCTAATGGCTGGAGATGCTGCCACAACGAGGTATCCAGCTCCTATCAGTTAGGCCGAGGCCGAGAGGCCCTGGAGTTTCAGAGAGGTGAGGAGAGAATCGTGAGATGCTGAGGCCCTGTGCCCTGGGTTCAGGTCCTGCAGGGAGCAGAGATGTCAAGCCAGAATGGACCCTTGGGGTAGATTTGAATTCTTGGAGCAGGAGGTAATCTAAAATTAAGAGTTTTCAGGGTAGACTGTGGAGCAGTATGAGTCATGCTCATTTAACAGCCCAGGGTGGTTAATCAAGATTATGAAGAGGAAATATACAGTGTTGGAAATCCACCCAGGGAAGGATATCTCGATGGAAAAACCCTCTCTTCCTACACTCAGTGGCCACTCGGCCCATAGACATCCTCTTGGTGAAGAACCCGGCAAAGGCAAGCCTGCTCAGGGTAGACCTGGGACTGGAGTGGATCTAAGTGTGGAACAAGGGTCCATTCTGCTTGTTTGATATCTCTGCTCGCTGCGGAACTTGAATCCTCCTGGCTATGAGAGGATGCACAATCTGCATTCTGTTTAGACAATAGGCCTTTGGCCATGATTAACCTCACCCACAAAAAAGAATCAGAAGTCTTTGAAGAAATCAAAGGGACATGATGGATAATATTCCTTACAATTTTAGAGAAGATTAGAGCAGTTTGTTGTATTTTAAAAACAAGAACCCCTTGTGGGTGAGG